ATGGATCCTAATCACCCTCACATAGATGTTCAAGGACTGAATGAACACAACAATCAGATAGGAATGGCCCTTACTACACCAAAACCTGTTCATCTACTTTCAGTTTGAAAGGACCAAAAAATGGGGGGAAAATCTTAACTCCTTCAGTCAGGGACTAGAAACCACTTGATTCCTTTTGCTCTTTTAATTGTAAATAATAACTGCCTAGTTTGAGCAAGAACAGGAAAGACCTGACCAGCCTGCAACCAGCCCAGCACGGAGCAGTCATCCGAGAGCTGCTGTTCTTCAGTTCACACTCTAAAGTTCTGCAAGGGGCTGGTGAGATGGCTCAGTGTTCTAAAGCACCTACTTAGAACAAGCTTAGCAAAGCACAGGGACAGCAGTTCAATCCCCCAGCACCACATGCCAGCCAGCCCCGCCCCCTGATGGGCTGAGCTGGCCTCCCCCACACACACACCCACACCTACACACAAAAGTTGTGCAAGGATTGGTCCTGCCGGCCCCAGCTTGGTGCCCTGCTGACATTGTGTGGGAAGGAGAATCCTGTGTGGAGTTTTTAACCCTTAGTTAGAAGACGAGGTGGAGCCGCGGTTCCCGCCACTCGATGCTAAGATGCTTGCTCATACTGCTGCAGGCAGCTGAGTTAGCTAGAAATATCAGCAGCCGGCCAGCCCTTGAAGGAGATAGCACAGAAGACAAGACATCTTGCCACACTGGGAGGGATGGAAGCTCCCACCATGGGCCAGACCTACAGACAAAAGATCAAACAAATGCCGACCTCCCTAAAGATTGGCATGCGAGATTGACTATCACCCTGAGGGAGCCAGAAGAATCATTAATCCAACTACCACTGGATGGCTACCTGATAAAGTCCTGTTCTACATTCATGCCCTCTTGCTACGTGACTCGCTTCCCCATTTGGTCCTGGACTTAATCAATTTTACCTGAGCAATGGTGCTTGTAATCCCATTGGGTGACCATAGTTTTGTCCCACCCCACATCCACCTAAGTGAGTTCCCATGTTCTCCACCACCTTAGACCCACCCCACTGCATGGTTTAGTCTATAAAAGTCCCTGGAAGAGAGAGCTCCCTGGAGACTACCCACTCGGGCCCCCCTCTTGTCCCTCTCTCGGACAGGAGCTTTCTCTCCCTCAATAAATATATTTTACTTATAAATTTTTTTAAATATGTATTTGTTTATTTAGTACAGGGTCTCACTATGCAGCTCAGGCTCAATGCCATCTGTCTCAGTCCCACCCACTACCAGATTACAAGGGTGTGCCACCATGCCTGGCTTAGGTGGCCATGGCTAGCATAGCATGTAGTACTAGGAATCAAACTCAGTTCCTTGTGCTTACCAGGCAGGTACTTAGACCACCGAGCTATCTTCCCGGGACCCATTTAAAGTTATTCAAAACATCTTGCATAACTCTTAGCCCAGAAGGCCATGATAAACAGTGTCAGGACTAAACACAACCTTTTGCTTGGCACAGCCCATGCCCTAGGCAACATTCTGCTGTGAGAGAATGCATTGGAGCAATGGCATCTTTCAGCATCTCTCACTTTTAATTTTATGAAAAAAATTCAAAACAAAATAATAGCGGAAGAACAACAGTTAATACATTGCATATTAGTAACTTCAAAGTAGTTACTCATAGTACAAGCCATAGTATAAAATATTCTCCCAACAATATTAGCACAAACCTTTCCTTTCAATGAACTAAGAGAAACTAGCAGTACCACGCTCTTGTATTTGTTGTAGCTTCTCTTTTGATGAACACAAAATCACTATATTAGTGTAGCTCCCAAGTGAATTCCTTTGTCGACCTATAATATCAGCCTGTCTCTAAAGATTTGCAAAAGTATCTTACTAATCTTTCTGATGTTATCTAGATATTAGCTTTCAGGATGAACTCAATAACAGGAAACACCCACAGCCTGTAATCAGAGTTCAATTCTAGTTCTTTGGTATTTAATGAATGTGAACTAGAGCACCAAATAGCATCGGGCTTGGTTTTCATACTGGATAGATCATGACACATAGCTTCAGTGAGGTGGTTATGTCTGTCTTGGCTTGAATCTTTAAGCGCTAACAAGCCCTAAAATTATGGACGATGAAAGATAGTAAAATATCCCATAAACTTCATAGTGGGTGTGAATAATACTTTATCTTTTCATGCAAATATTTAAAACTACTTAGTAAGTAGGTTAAAATTACTTGAAGAGATATAAGTGGCCGATTTTTAACCCATATAGCATTTCTTTTATCCTGGCCAGTACTTTCATATTTAAGCTGGATGTCTGCTGACAAATTAGGAAAGGAGAGTGGCTTGCTAGTAGACATCACCTTTAGGGCTTCTTGTGTCTTGGGTTTTTTGTGTCTTCTCTTCTATATTCACATGGAAAAAGACTGTCTCTCTGTGTTAAGACAGTCTCTGTGGCATTGTCCAGGAGTTACTTTTGCTTTTAAGTGACCATGAGGAAAGCCAGACTCTAGATCAGTTCTACTCAGGTGAATCTCTATTCATGGTGTTCTCCAGTGTCCAGGGTTTAGGAAAAATAGAATTCTAAGCTCCTCCACAACATATAGCAAAAAACTGACACAGAATGCAGTAACCAAAATACATCATTCATAAAGAAAAAAAGTGTACCTACTTGATCAAAGAGGTTAAAGACTAAAAGGAGTGTCTTGTTTACTTTTCTATCATTGTTAAGGAAAAATACCCAACATCCAAAATTTAGGAAGGAGAGGTTATACTCGAATGTTGTCTTTGAGGTCAAGAGAGCTCTCTACTGTGGCCCAGTTGGGAACTTGTTTCTGAATCAAATCAATGTGGACACCTGTAATTCTCTCTCTCTCTCTCTCTCTCTCTCTCTCTCTGTCTCTCTCCCCCCCCCACATATATACATTCTTCATTTGCCTTTTTAGGTAATCCAGGAATGGTCCTCTTTTTTTTATGACAGCTTTTTAAATGTTTAGTTATAGCTATCATAAGTCCTCTCTGAGTTTCATGCTTGATAAAATTTTAAAGTTTATTAACTATATATAATTAATCATAGTGTTAATTATATTGTTTCAAAATTTATTCTCTTGAACACTTTTAAATTTAACCCATTAATTAATTAATTTTTTTGTCATTTAAGTGATTTTATCAGAAGTTGAGTTTATGATAGAGTAAAGAAAAATTGGACACTTAGACTTACTATTTGTTCTGTTTTGTTTTGTTTGTTTGTTTGTTTTTGTATTTTAGGGAAGGGTCTACAGGATGTTCAGGGTCTCACTACTAGATCAGGCTCATAGTGACCGCCTATTTACAGCCTCCCAAGATCTGGGATTATAGGCGTGTGCCACCATGCCCAGTTTCAATTGCCATCTCTGCATTTCCCGGGGTGGGGCCAGCACAGCGGCAAGCCTGGGGATCGAACTTCCAGCCACTGAGCCTGCTTACAGGTGCTTTAAGCTGCTGAGCTATTTGGCCAGCCCTACTTCTCATTTTTTAAAAACTGTCTTCATTTTATAATTTCAGCTTAAGTTTGAGTTAACTTTTTCTTCACCTCTATAAGACATTCTTATTTAAAATGAGGTAAATGTCAGCTAATCCATCCTCAATTTCAGAACTGCAGAAATAAGGCAGTTTCCTATGCTTAGATCTTAGTAATGTGGTAGTTCAATGCTACTGAATTTTACTGCTAAATTACTGACTCAGGCTGAGGAGTGTGTTTATGTTGTGTCTACAGTGGGAAGTGGCTCTACACACACACCCAAGGAGCTTCTTATCCAGCGGGCATGTGCCTGCCCGGTTATTCTGCCAGTGTTATCAAGGTAAGCCATGGTCTATTTATATCATATTACTTAATCAAAGTGTTTGAATTAAATTTCTGTAATGTTCTGGGTCCCATTGAAAGACACATATAAGCATGTTGTCCTATACATCCTCTAATGTTAAGAAAACTTACATTTAATAAATGAGAAAAGAAATGTCTCACAAAAAGTTATAGAAGAAGGATAAAGACAAACCAGGGTAGTGAAGAGCTCAGATGAACAACATACCCAGACTAATACATGATTGGTACAGCACTTTTGCCCAGTAACTGTAATTATTTATAGGCATAAAAAATGATGACTTACTTAGCAAGGGAGGATAATTGATCTTGTGCTGAAAAGAAAATGCATAAAATACATAATGCAATTTATCACAACCACCTTGTGATTCATGCTTAGAAAACACAATCTATTCCCACCTCTCAAGTTGCTAGTAAATGCTCACCAGTAACCCTATTTGGGAGAGTACTGAAAACCCGAAGGCATGTATTTATTTCCTGTATTTCTTTGCTTGGTTGTTGCTGTGTCAGGTCAAAGTTAGAAATCAACACTTATCAAATGACTTTATGAACTATTTTAATTTCAAACTACATACAGCCCTTTCAAACCTATAGATTTGCTTTAGTATTTCAGTAACACAACTTTTGCATCATAGCCAGTCTACTCTGATACAGGCTGTCACAACCTCAATTATATTTTATTTTACTTTTTCAATGTTTTAAACTTTATTTCTAAAAAAGTACATTTTCAAGGTGTTTTATTAGCTGTTGAGTAATCTGATAACTTGTCCCTTTTTGGAAATATTTCATCATAAATATAGGCATTAAAACATGAATTACATCTCTAAGCCAGGACAAGGAACCACACTGCCACAGATATATCTCTGACCTTTAATTTTCCTCTTAACAGGAATTCCTTCCACAAGATTACATGCACTGTTGTTCAATGTGAGATTATAAATTCAAAGCAAGAGCATCACATCTTTTGGTCTCTGCTTTGAATAGCTTGTATAGAGAAGACAATCGCTAATATTTATTTTATGAGGACGGAAGGACATTTGTCTCTGCCCACTCAAGCTGCCATAAACAAAATACTATCTCATAAACTGCATGGCAAGAAAAAAACCAAAAAACAAAAATGTGCTTCACACAATTCTGGAGACTGAGATGCCCAGGGTCCAGTGTTGACCAATGTAGTCTCTGGTGAGACTCAACTGTGAGCTCAAAGTCCACACCTCTTTGCTGTGCCTTGACTTGAAAGGCAGAAGGGGAGGAGGTATCTGGGGATACTATTCATGAAGGCTCTGTGCTCAAGACCTCATCACCTCTATTCTTTGAGAGTAGGGCTTCAGTGGATGCATTTTGGAAGAACATACACATTAGGGCCACAGAAACGATTTCAAAACTTGAGAGATGCAGGCATTAAAAAAATCATTTTCCTGGACTGCGGAAATAGCTCAGCAGTCTAAGCACCTGCCTGGCAAGTGCAAGGACCTGGTTTGATCCCTGGTACCACATGCTGTGCTGGTCCCACCCCTGGGTGCACCAAGCCAGCCACCAAGATCAGGAATGGTGGTGCATGCCTGTAATCCCAGTGCTAGGGAGGTTTAAAACAGGAAGATCACTGGAAGTCTGAGCTGCATAATGAGATCCTGTACCAAATACATTTTTTTAAAAAGTCATTTTCACAATTGCATTATAAAATGAAGGAGCTGAGGTACACAGGGGCAAGTAATTAAATTCCTGAGTTAAGTAGGAGGTACAGGCTGGGTCTTTCAGCCAATGGTCAAAGTACTGTGTTGGACAACAGTGTACTTTCTTTGAGAACTTTCTAACAAATATTTCTTTTGCATCAGGATCTTTTGCCGGACATCAACACAATTGCAAACAGAATGGCACATCACTTGGGACATAACCTGGGGATGCACCACGATGGGTTCCCCTGTACCTGTCCTTTGGGAAAATGTGTGATGGACAGCATTGGAAGGTGAGACTCAGATGATGCAAGGGGTGTATTTAGACACTTGGGGAATAAACCTGTTAAATACATTGGAGCATTATTTTAGGGTTATATTGATATGAAGGGTAATTTCCTGGAAGCTCTGTTATGAAATCAAGCATAATGAGGGATGAATGTTTGAGAAGCTAAGTCTTCTTACCTGGCAGTGTTCTTCTTTAGTGATTCACAGAAGGAAGCTCTAAGCCTCCACTGCACACATTAGAAATGCACGGCATGCGCAAGTGCCACTTTCAAGGAAGACAAGTGCTGAGAAATGGATCTGTGTGTCTTGGTGCCATCTTCATTATAATTTCCTCTGTCACATCTTTAGTCTCAGTGAAGCTCTCCCCAACCACCTGATCCAACTTTTTTGGTCCTGTTTCATCATACACCTCTCCTGGTATTTCTTTATCCCCCTTTATTGCTTTTGGTTTTTCCCCTTTGTACTTTTCCCTCTCTGGCATATCCTATGTAAAGCATAAGAAGCCTGTTTATTGCATCCCTCTTTCACTAGAATATAAGCTCCTTGAGGTCAGAAGGTTTGGGGTGTTTGCTTGGTAACTGTTATATTACTATGATCTAGAAATTCCCAGGAAACTGTTAGGTACTCCATAGTCAGAGGATGATGGGTGGATACCCAGCATGCTCCTATTGTGACTCATTCTGTGGTCAGTCCTGTCCTGCACACACTGGACCTCTTCTCAGTAGGTGTGCATAATGCTTTGTGTGTACTAAGAAAGTACCTGTTAATCTCTTTCATATGTGGATTAAATGACTTAAAACAGCTAAATGACACAAACACAATGGGTAGAGCATAGACTAAGAACTCAGAAACTTATACCTAATTTTACATGGCTATCTACATCCTTAGGCTTATTCACAGAGCCCCCATTCCCATGCAGTGCAACCAAGATTCTCAAAGTCCTTCTGTGTTCAATCATAGTGTCAATAATACTGTTGAGGGAGACAAGTGAGCACTAGAAGAGAGGCATTCCTAACCATGTTTATGATATCAATATATATATATATATATATATATATATATATATATATATCTTTTGGCTATGATAAAATGTAGCATCTGTTCTTATGAGCAAACATAAATGTATGACCACTCTCTACCAGGCACTGTGTTACTAGGAGTCCTTCTTATCTGTTACATGCTACTGAGGAGTGAACTTTGAACTGAGTTCTATCCCCAGGATTTTCCGTTTTTATCCCTGAGGCAGGATCTCAAAAGCTGCCCAGGCTGAGGTCCTGGCTGTGACCCTTCTGCCTGCCTCTGTTTTCAGAGTGCTGAGGTTACAGGCATGTGCTAGCATGCTCGATTTGAATCTCTTTTTAAAAAGTTGATCATGGCACAGTCCTTGCCCCGAGAAGCTTTGAATTTTACCGGGATGGCGAACACAGATGCACGCTACTATCAAACTATTTAACCCAGACTTGCAGAGGTAGACATGGGGGCAGCAAGTGCTGACAACCAGTCCACAATGCAGGCTTCAGGGATGACTTCCTGGAGGCTGTACCAGCAGAATACTTTCAGGGCAACACCGTGTGTTGGCCGTGCCCTAAGACGTTTCCTCTGATGATGAGCCTGCCTCCTGCCCTGCACTCACAGCTCATGGTTACATTTGTCCTTTCTAAACTTTTCATGGAACGTTCACAGCTGCAGTGCCACGATGTTCTGATGTGACCAATCTTTTTTTTTTATTGCACCCTGACTCTAGTGTTCCTGCCATAAAATTCAGTAAATGCAGCCAAGTCCAGTACCAGCAGTACCTGAGGGATTATAAGCCCACCTGTATGCTCAATGTTCCATTTCCTGACAATCTGAATGATTTCCCATTCTGTGGGAACAAGAGAGTAGATGAAGGGGAAGAGTGTGACTGTGGCCCCATTCAGGTATTGCATAATTATTTTGTCTTTAAATTGTAAAGTTTATGCTCAGCTGGAATCTAAGCAGGGATCCAGCCATTAATCATATTAACTATCATGTTCCTTTTATAAAGCCTTTAATTATTTTTTTTTCTGTATTTAGGGCAGAGTCTACAGGATCTTCAAGGCCTATAGGGTCTCACTATGTAGATCGGACTCATAGTGATCCTCCTGTTTACAGCCTCCCAAAAGCTGGGATTACAGTAGTGTGTTACTACGCCTACTCTCAATTGCTATCTGGGTGGGGCCAGCACGGCATACGGGGGATCAAACCCTGCTGCTGTGCTCTGCTGAAGCAAGTGCTTTAGTCTGCCGAGCTATCAGGCTGGTCCTACCCTTTTATAAAGCTTAAAAAAAAAAAAAAAAGTAAGACTTTTTTTTCATATAAAAACAAGATGTTGGGGCAGCCTCATCTCAGGTCTTCTTTTGGAATCATGTACTGTGCATTATGATCTTGCTAGAGGTCAGCAGCTTCACATTCACCTGGTTTACATATTAATAGACTCATCTTGATAGATGGGCCCTTAGGTGTCAGTATGCATGAATTCACATGCACAGTAACATGTAGCCATCTTATAAAATCCCTCACAGCGAATCAATTCAGTTTTACTCATGGCTGCAGGAGGCTATTCCGTATCACAGCTGGATAATTCTCCTTATTAGAAAACTCTTTGTTCACAGGGCAGAAATTCTCAAAATTTTCACATATCTATTACAAGCTTTATCTTCGGAACATTTAAAAACAAAGCTTTTGAGAAGACTTTCAAAGTAATTCTTAATCTGCTTTTGCCCAACATAGAACTATTTCTTTCGGGAGCTCACCAAAGAAATATGTCTCCTAGACAACTTGACACGCAAATAAAAAAAATGTCTGCAAATCTCTGAGAGGCTGCTGAGGGTGTGGACGCTGGGGCAGCAGGTCTGTGCTGGACAAGTCTGCACTGCTACTGCGCTGCAAAGTTCTGTTAGTGTCACGTTTTCTCTGAGAACCACATTCTTATTTCAAAAATAGCCTGATAAAACAGTTCTAATGGAACTTCGCAGAGTGGGGATGATGCCCTGTCCAGAAATGTAAGAGCTCATTTTCATGTCTTAGATTACATGAAATGGAGCTCTTCATTTTTCAAACTGATTCTCTTGCCCAGATGTCCTCTTGAAATGGTTCTACAGCTTCATGCCAACACAGGAAGTACCTTACCTGATCAGGCACAGACAATTTCAGTGGAATTTTTTTTTTTTCCAAGTAGATAGAGCTTAAGAGCCTATCTTGTTGTTATTATATAAAGGTATATCTTTTAGAGAAAGGTCAGCAGATCTTCTAAATATCTTGAACAAAAGTCTAATTGTTTCATATCAAACATTAGCAGAAGGAAACAATAGGGACCTCCAAGGATTGAAAATCAGCTGGAGAATGGAAGGCTGTAGGCCTGGAGCCTTAATCCTGTCCTCCTGCCTGCCAGTGGTCATAGGCTCTGGAGTATAGAAGAGCCAAGAGGAGAGGAAAGCCAGGGAGAGTCCAAAACACTAGCTCCAAGCTGCGATCTTTATCCACATATTATAGACAGGGATCATGCAGTTGTCTTTGCCTCTAAAAAAGTTGATTTGTTGTGTTTCCATTTTTTTTTTTTTTTTCTGTTTTGGTATGAGGAATTGAACTCAGAATTTCTCACTTGCCAGCCAGACACTGTGTTGCTGAGCTGTATCCCCAGCCCTGTGTGTTTCCATTTTTTTTAAAAAAAGCTAAGCCACAAATCATTTTCTTGATTTTTTTTAATTATTATTATTGCTAGGAGTGTACTAATCCCTGCTGCGATGCGCACATGTGCATGCTGAAGCCAGGATTTTCTTGTGCACAAGGAGAATGCTGTGAATCCTGTCAGGTGAGACACTGGGGTAGGAAAGAGTTTCTCTGTTTTCAGCCTAAGTCATGGAAGTCCATGGAGCTGCCTGGCTCCATGAATTCTTGGCAGTACCTGCCCTGAGGGGCTCAGGCTTCTGAGCAGAGGTTGATGCTTTGGTCTGAGGAGTGCCAAAACCAGCGAGCATCTTCTGGTGTGCTGGGAGCTGTGTCACATGACCAGCACTATTCTTGGCCTTCTGTGAATTATTGCCAACCTATATATTATCAACTGGGAGTAAAAGTGATATCCCAAGGACATGAGCTAAGAGGGGAAAAGGGGTTATACCGGACTTAGAAGCAGTCATGGCTAGAATGATGAGAAATCATCCTAGATGGCTCTGTCCAAGAATTTATTGACACATCATTCACCCCAGGGGACTGTGAGCTCACAAAGAGAAGAAGCATGTCTTTTTCATCTTCAAATCTCTCCAAAATCAGTACCAATAAATGTGTACTGGGTAACTAAGCAAGAGAAATCTCACACAAGGGCCTCCAGCAATCAAAGCTGGGCATTTCCACGTGCACATGGAGGTACTGATTTCCTGGGGATGTAGACTGCTTATTAAATGTAGAGGTTAAATAAAAAATAATAATTTATAAAAATAAAATAAAATAAAAAATAAAGGTAGAGTTTTCCTTATGTACACAAGCAGAGGCATGGTATACTGGAGAGAATAAGAAAATCTAAAATAAATGAGAATACTTCCACATTTTGCTGTTGTGTTACCTAGTACACATCTAGCTAAGGCTGCCTAACAACAAAATTCAAAGTGCCAAATCATGAACTTATCATCCTTAAAAATACATAAAATCCAAAGCATTTGCAAGTGACACCAATCCTCAGTGAAATGGAGAAAGAAGTTATGATGTGGTCTCAGAGCCATTTATTTATTTATTTATTTATTTATTTATTTATTTATTTATTTATGATAGATTACATGGCCAACTTTCCACCTTTTGGCTGGACCTTACCTATCTAAGTGTGTCAAGAATTCAGCCTGTATTTCTCTTCAACAGATAAAGAAAGCAGGGTCCATATGCAGGCCAGGAAATGATGAGTGTGATTTCCCTGAGGTCTGCACGGGCCACTCCTCTGAGTGTCCCAAGGACAGATTCCGAGTCAATGGATCTCCTTGTAGCAACGGGAAAGGCTACTGCTTCATGGGGAAATGTCCCACGCTGCAGGAGCAGTGCACGGAGCTGTTTGATGATGGTGAGAAGTGGCTGCAGTGAGTGCTTAATAAGGACAATAGCTTCCACGTACCCGTAACTATCACCTAAGCCATGGGAACAAGATAGACAGTGATAGAGTTTTTAACAACTTCCTAAAATATTACTTACCATTTCTTAGAATATAATGTTAACTAAAGTAAATGTGTTACTGACTTATATTTCCATTCCTACTTAAAATACTTTCCTGACTCAATAGGATAGTTTTTAAATTAATTATCCCTTTCTACTTCTCACTACATGATACGGGATGATACTAAGATCATTTGCATAAAGAGACAAGGTATTTTAAGTTTCTCAATTTTTCCGTTTATTGGTTCTTCTAATTTTTTCATATTGTTATGCATTTCAGAAGCGAAAGAGAGTCCTGATATCTGCTACTCGATGAATAAAAAGGGAAATAAATTTGGTTACTGCAAGAACAAGGCAAATAAATTCATTCCCTGTAAAGAGAAGTAAGTGCTCTATAGTAGGGCTTTGAAAGATGAAGAAGGCTCTGGGTCTCAGAGCTGTTAACTTTCTTTGGCAGCATGAGTAGAAATAGAACAGAGCTGTATATCCCTGACAGTGCTGGATGTTATTTACATACTGCATTTGTTAGCTGAAAATTCTAGACTATGAAGAGGAAGAATTAAAGAGACTTAATATGCCTAAGAAAAAGAGAAGAGAAAAAGTCTTAGCTAACTAATAACAATAATAATAAGCAAAGAAGGAAGTGGAAATAAGTGAGAAGTGGGACAAGGAAAAGAGTGAAAGTGTTTTAACCTTGAAAACAGAAGTAGAAGTTGGAGGTAGGAGAGTGGGAGTTTGGGAATTTAGGTCTGATGCACAACAAGATGAGCTAAGTCAAACATTCAGGTTTGCTCAAAGACACTGCAGCAATTTTCACATGTGACAAAACAGGACGTGGACTGAAAACAGCCATCACAAAAACTTACCTGTATTACCGTGTTACAGACTTATATCTTCATTTCTACTTATAATACTCTTCTGACTTAATAGGATAGTTTTTCAATTAATATCCCATTCTACTGCTCACTACATGATATGGGGTGATACTAAGATCAACTGCATAAGGACATACAGTCAGGGTTAGCTGTGTTCCTTAGCAAGCTAGGTGGAAAAGAAGAGCCATCTCACTGCGCTTATTCTTAGCTGCTGCTGGATCTGGAACACGGGGGTAATGTGGAAACAGACTTGTGGCTTTGCCATCAGAACCCACTGAAATGTCCTACAGAAGGAAGGATGTGGGGAATTTCCGTGAGCCTATGAAAGTCGAGTTAATTCAAGTTACTAGTGAGACATAATCTATAAGCATGAACTAATACAGGCTTATGAGAATCATAGAGCAATTACAAAGTGATTACATTGCGCATTTATTTTATCTTCTACTGAGTCCCCAGGGCCGTGGCTTTAACCAGCCAATGCTTTGCTTAGCCATGGTCAAGCCTGAGTACCCTGCTGACAAACCCAAGTCAGATAAATGTGGCCCTGCTTCTTCTTACCAGGGCAGTCTGAGGATCCATTCGGTCCCTAGTCTGACAATGCTTTCCCTCTCCTTCAGAGATGTCAAGTGTGGGAAGATTTACTGTACCGGAGGACACCACTCATCTCTCCTGGGAGATGTCAAGGCCTTTCTCCTTATGGATCCAAAGCAGAATGTGACCGTCAAATGCAAAACCATATTTGTATATCACAATTCTGCAGATATTGGTCTGGTTGATTCCAGAACAAAATGTGGAGAGAAGATGGTAAGATGGAAATCTTTATATTAAAACTCCTTGGTTCAACTGCTCGAAAAGAGTACTGGATCCTATAATTGGTTCCAGAGGGACTTACAGGAAATTTTCTTCATATAAGAAACCAGGAGGAAAAGTGACTACTGCATTTTTATTTTTGAGGAACAGTAGCAATAACACTGGAATATTCCTTTTGTTTCATTTAGCTATAGAAAATGATATGTAATTGTTATAAATATGCTTAATTGGTATCTTATAGTAGACTTCTAATGATATTTTGCTAATTAATATGACTATAAAATCAGTATATGCTCCTCATTTATTTTATTTATTCAAACATATTTATTGGCCAAGTGTTAATTTGTCAGGAGCTATGCTAGATCCAGATGATTTAAGGATGTGTATATTTGAGCATTTCATCTATTAGACTAAACAGATCAGCACAATTCAGCCAAAGCACTTTCCTTGATTCCAGATTAATGTGTATCTGGAATCGAAAGACAGAAGTGGCTATGAACACACAGAACAAGGACAATACCTTGCCTTCCAGCTTCCACCTGAGGAACAGCACTTTTAAGCTAGAGAAAAAGGGAAAGATTTGGTTATGTTTTATTTTTCAGCTATCAAAATTTAATTGAAACTTGTTAATTGTGCACCATTATGGGGTACAATGATGTACTTTGACACATACTGGCGGTGTGATGAAATCCAGCTAAATAGTGTCCTCCTCATCTCACGTATTTATGATTTCTTTGTGTTGGGAACATTCAAGCCCCTCTCTTCTAGTTAGAAATATAAATTATGATTAATGATAGTCACGTATTGTACTACACAACACTAGCACTTACTCCCTCGATTTAACCAGAAATGTATACCTGTTCAGCAGCCTCTCGTATGCCCCTCTCTCTCCACCATCCCTAGCTTCTGGAAGCCATGATTCTACTTCCCACTTCTCGGAGAACAGCTATTTTAGCTTTCATACAAATGAGAACATGTGGAATGCTGAATTTATCTTTCTGTACCTTAACACAATTCACTCATATATTTATTATTTCTCAAGCTCATCTCCATAGGCTCAAGGGACAGGGCTTTATTCTCTCTTATGACTCATCATCACTGTTTATATGTAGCACATAATCCACTGATGGACACTTAGGTTGATTCCATATCTTGGCTACTGTGAGCAGCTCTACAGAAAAAATGGGAGGACATAAAAAGCTTTTAGAAAGAAATACCTGTAGAGATAAGCAAACTCACAATGTGAATGACATATTCAAACAGCTGAGAAGTTAATTGTGGCCTGAGCTTTGGTTGGAATGGTATTGAAGTTGAACAGAGAGAAGGGAATCAAATTGGAAGAGTTTATTGGAATAAAGTGAAAGTATTGGAATGTGTGATATGAACAACAATGAGCTTATCAAGACTGTACAGAAAACATGCTCGTGTACTCCGAAAACTCAGCTATTTGAAATTGAAGGTTTGCTCTGTGCTGTGTGTTCTCCTCCCACTCAATGCCACCACCCATAAGTTTCAGAATGGCATTGGTAAAATCTGAAAGGAAGTAAATTACAGGCCAAAACTCAGAGTATAAAAGAGAACTAGAACTTGATGACTTAATGATGACTTCCATCAGAAGTCCATGTATTTTAACTATAAAGCTTCCCACTAAAGGGACTCAAATGCACATCAAAATGGTGAGAGCCACTAACTAGAATTATCTAAGGACATTCAAAAAGAGATAGGGTATTCAGCATCAGGTTGAAGAAAATGACAAATGTTTGTTTACTAGCCTGAGACCTCGGGTGAAGCATGCCATCCCCCTCCTGTGATCAGGGAAGTGAAGGAAGGCGTTGTTAGGAATCAGTACACTGCCCCTGAGGTACATCATGGCCTCAGGACCACAAACACAGATGCTTGTCCTCCTCGAGAGAAGACACACCAGCCCCAGTCCTACTGGCTCTTCAGCTCACTCCAGAGTAAGGAATCCATGCAAAGCCAGGAGGGTTTTCGCAAAGACATAAATCAGAAATGTTCCTGTAACTTTTGCTTGAAATGTAAGATCAAGTGAACATAAAATGCACAAAACACTTTTGTTATTTAAGTGTTTTGTTTTTTCTGGATAAATTTTAATTTGTCACAGAAAGATAAGGAAAACACAAACTCCAAAGTTTCATTTACCTCACACTACACTGCTAGCAACATGAAAGAAAATAAAGAGGAAAGATAAAGGACAGGAAGAAGAATGGAAAAGGAGGAGGAGGAGGAGGAGGAGGAGGAGGAAAAAATTAGAGCAGTCAGAGAGGAATTTAACCCATTCTTTGGCATAGCAGAGTTATTGCCAAACTTTTTTAAAGTTTTTTTTTTTAAAAACTCAGCTGTATTTACTACCTCTTAGAAGAGACTGTAACCTGGGCACTCCACTTCCATTCACAGGCTTTGTTCCAAAAGATTTTTGAGGGGTTGGAGAGATAGCTCAGTAGAATAAGTGCTTGCCTGGCAAGCACAAGGGCCTGAGTTCAATCCCCAGTTCTGGAAAAAAAAAATGGTGAAGCCAAATCATTTTTCAAACAGCTCTGCGGTATCCCTAAGAAATTGTTTCTCCCTCGAAACAGTATTTTTCTTTGGAAAACAAGCCCGTGCAGCTCCTGCCATCAAGTTTTCAGCATAATGTACTTCTAGAAGCCTAGGACATGCAGATTTGAAACTACTAGGGAAAGTTTAAAAAAATACCCCATTAGAAAACTCGAACTATCTTAACAAATATTTCTTTAAACATCAGGGAATCTCAACACCTAAGAGATTTTAAAAATGGGTAAAATTAAAATTCCTCATCATTGCTCTTGCTTGCTCTTGAACCTCTGAAGAGAGATCTGCATGAGTTCCACAGCACTCTGCCAGGGCTGCATTGTAGGCACAGAAAATGTGTCCTGGCGGGGTAGACAAGGACAGCAAACAGCACACAGGGGATTCGAACGTGTGCACAAAGGTGAGAAGCCAGAGAGGACCCAGATGAATCCCATAGCGAACAAATTTACATTAACAAGAGGACAATTTTTTTCTGTATTTAGGACAGGGTCTATAGGTTCTACAGGGTCTCACTACTAGATTAGACTCGTAGTGATTCTCCTGTGTTCAGTCTCCCAAGTGCCGGTATTACAGGCATGTGCCATCATGCCCAGTCTCAATTGCCACCTCAGCGTGTCTCGGGGACAGGGCCGGTACGGCATGTCGGGGATCAAACCCCGGATGCTGCTTCTGCGTAAGCAGGCGCTTTAGTCCATTGAGCTATCAGGCTGGCCCAAGAGGACAATTATTTTTAAATACTGAATTTTAATAGGTTGTATTGTTGAGATCCTAGATAAATACCAGAATTAAACAGAAGACCTAAAGATGTCCCAGATCCCCTTTGCAAACATAGCTGCCCACCCCCTGATGTTTAAAGGAATATTTGTTAAGATAGTTTGAATTTTATTATAGAATCTGTTTCAAAACTTTCCCCAGTAGCTTCAAAGGATGTTGTAGAACATCCTCTACCAGAGTAGCACATTTCTTACACACGGTGACTCCTCATTAACTCATGATTATCACCCAGAATCCATAGTTTTTCACTAAGGTTTATTCAGTGGAAATCAAATGTACATTCTATGGATTTCAACAAATTCATAATGACATGCATTCTCTATTTTAGTGTCATGTGGTACCTCCCCGTCCTACATGCCCCTTGTGTTCAACCTACTCTTCCCTTCCTCTCTGCAATTCCTGGAATCCACTGATATTTTTACTGATTTATGGTTTTGGTTTTCGATAAGGCCACATAGCTGGGTTTGTACAGCCTGGGGCCTCTATCTCCATGCATTTCCATTTTAAATAAAGAGCAATAAGCTTCCTTTCCTGTACGTCCTTTCACCTTTCAAACTTATAATATAATTGCCTTATGTAAATTAAGAATTGCATCACAATATTTTACTTCAATCATCGAACGTAATTTAGAAAAGAACAGTGGAAAGTGATACTATGCTGCATATACCCATCATTTTATTCTTTCCTTTCCTCTTTTATACAACACGATGTTCAAAGGTTTCTTACTTTATCAAAAAAATTAAATTTATACTTTGGATAGGATTTTAAATGATATCAAACACTAAAAAAGGTATCATTTAAGATCAAGGAGCATTGCCTTGCTCCTGCAAGGCACAAGATATCATAGTTTCCAGGTAATGTACAATTTCAGCAGCACATCAATCAGTAAGTTTGAAGCTGAGCTTCTTAAGCCAGAAAAATAAATGTAGAAAAACACAAAAATATTGGGAAAAAAATCAAGGAAACCTGGCATAGATTTAATACAAATAATAGATGAAACAGAATAAGGCTGACCTATAATTAAAGAAATAATTTTAAAATCTAACATAAATAAGAAAAGCAAAACGTTGGTGACAGAAAAAGTTCACACAAAGAAAACAGCAACAGTACTTCCATGTTGTTAAGGTCAAGGATAAAAGTACATTTTCTAGCAAAAGGCGAGCAGGTCATTACTTGCCTACAAGAAAAACTACACCAAGGTACTCTATCATATTTCTCTTTAACAAGAAATGCCAAATGAAAATGGACTCATATGAACAGAGCCTTGGGGGACACTTGGAGTGCAAAAGCAATCATAAACACAGCTCAGTTATTATTGAGACAGAAAAGCAGTCAGATGGTACCTGCTCATGTCTCTTGACTAAGGAAATAAAATATTGCAGTTATTTTCTGCAAAATAACTTAAGAAATTGCTCCAGCTAAGTTAAATAAGGAGATAGACATCAAAGAAATATCTATAAGCAATGAAATCTATAAACTTTTGAGAAAATTCTAGCTACTTATTCTTAATATGTTTATTAGAAAAGTGCTAACATATGTTGAAAGATAACCAAAAACCACTGCTACAAATCTCTATTCAAAGTATCCGGCGTAAGTAAGAAATAGGATTGATTTTAACAAAATGTTTAGCCTACAATCATGCTTTTAAACATCTAGGTCTTTATATTAAATCAAAAGAAACTTAGACTAAATTATTGTATGACTGCAGAATTTTTAGTTGATTAGCATTCAAAGAATAAAGGCACAAACATTTTTAATAATTAATGGTATGCATGTGCTCACACTCACACAAAAATCCATCAATTGTTCACAGATTTCCACATGCACAGATTTTATATCTGTGGATATCCACAGATTTTATGTCTGTGGATATCCACAGAAGTTTGCAATAGACAACAATTACACAAATTATAGTTAAATCATATAAAATGGAATGTATAATTTTACAAGCAATTATGTAAGACCTCAGTGTCATGTCAATAATTCCTTCCATTTCACATCGCTTGCCTCACCTGTAGGTGTGCCTGGATGGCGAATGCATACACATTGATCAGACCTACAACTCAAGCAGCTGCCCTTCTCCGTGCAACAATTCTGTAAGATTTGGTTTGGTTGCTTTTTGAGTTAGCATCTTACCAGTTATTTGTTTATAAAACCCTTTCATCTTGAGGCTGTGGGTGTGATCTTTTCCTTAATCAAATTTATATTTGAATAGCAATTAACCACTGAGAGGAATGTATACTTATGTGTTAATTATTGAAACTGTCCTACCAATTTGATTTGAAACTGTCTCATTGCTATTTGTTTATCAATAAAATTATGGGAAAAATTTTTTTAAAAATTTATATTTGACATCAATTCTTTTCATGTTTCATCAATAAAATTCATTAAAGAACCAAGATACATATTATCATATGTAACTAACTGCTAGTATTGCAAGTAAATAGTTTATTAATTTGTAATCTACATACCCAACGGTTTACATACCTATTAAATTTAAACCTAAACTTATATTAAATCAAAGGAAACATAGATTAAATTATTGTATGATTAAGTTTGATCTATCACATAATTATCTATATTTAATTTATATCCATGTCAATATTATCCTAATATTCTTGAGTAAAACAACAAATAATTATAATCTTTAAACAACACCACTAACTTTATATTTGTGGCTAACATCTTTCCTAATTCCATTCAGTTACTCTTTAAGACTTATTCAGAAATGCACCAGACACTCTTTCAAGTAGTGTATAATTAATGATATGTGTATATGTGAACAGTTTTGAAATCTTCATAAGAACCTCAAGGCATGGATGCTATGTCCATGGCCATCTTAATAGATGGAGCCAGGTACACTGAGGTTGTGTTGGGAGAAAGAAGAACGCCTAGCTTTAACTCCAAAGAGATGACCCAAGTCTTTTCTCCTAGCATTGCACGCTACTCTCTTGATGAACTAAACGTTCTTTCGCTGCCTTTTTCCCTGGCAATCTTATCTCATCATTATCCAGCTTAGGTCTGCTTCTTTGATGTGATACATCCAACTTCAGCCGAGGCTGCCCAGTGAAGGACATGGATGCTTTGTGGAATGAGGTCACACAGTCTTGTTCATCTGTCTGACTGTGTCAATACCATTCCCTTTTTTTTTTTTTTTTTTTTTGGTTTTGTTTTGTTTTGTTTTTTCAGTACTGGGGCCATTCCCTTGTTAAAGTTTTTTTTTTTTTTTATTGTCTTTTTGAGACAGGGCTTCATTATGCATTTCAGGCTGGACTTGAGCTCACTTTGTAGCCCAGGCTGCTTTTGAACTCACAACAATCCTCCTGCCTCAGTCTCCCGAGTGCTGGGATGACAGACACGTGCCACCACAAGCAGCTTGTTCAAGCCTTTCTTCAAAGGAGGTTGCTTCTTGTATTTTGCTTGCTTATTTTTGTACAACATTTATTTTGGTATGCAGCTTAGTTCCTTAATCAATAAAACAGTGTGTATGTGTGTGTTCTGTGTAAAACTAACTTTAATAAAAATGAGATATGAAACAGCCATGTCAGCCATTTGATAAAATTGTGTGCTTGATTGCTTCTTCAGGAGGATGGTCATGAATCCGGGTGCCAGTGTGGAGAAGGACAGATGCTTACAGACTGGGGGTACACCTTAAGTGCTACCAGTGAGCATCCTAGACCGTAATGTCTCACACATATCAAAATCCTCCCAATGACAGTGTTCCTCTTGATTTTCCAGATTTACTATATAGTTTTTGCACTTTTACCCATTTGGTTTACTTGCTCAACTTACTATTTATGCATGTTTAGAAACCTAAGTTGAATTTATTACAATTGCCCTTTATAATTAATATATCTTCTTTTAGAAAAATGTGGCTTAGCTCTTCTAAGACTCTGTGACACATAACGACTTGAGAGTCAATTTAAAATTAGCAACAAAAACTTTTCTTGCTGAATGGGGTTTCCCCTAAATATAACTCAATACTGCTAATTCAGATGAAGCATTGTATCTTGGCCTTTTTTAATGTTGAGAGGGGAGGGAAGGGGACACAGACAGAAAAGATGGAGTGCTGTCTTGTCTCCATTAAATGTCAGCATCCCATTGCCTTCAAGTCCCTGTCCTGACCACAGCCCCCCACTCCTTTTTAATGTTGCAGGTGTCTCCATCATGGTCATTGTGCTTGTCACAGTTGTCGCTGGCACTGGACTTGTTGTTTTATTAGTTCGTTACCAAAAATGTGTCAAATTGAAGCAGCATCAGAGGTATGTGTACATTTTGTGTTGAAGGGAACAAATACTCAAATTATGTGAACTTGGGGGCCATAAAGGATAATCAGTGTAAAAAAAAAATACTAAGTGTTTTGCTGAAGACTAGTTGAAAAGGATGGGAAATCAGACTTTTATATACATACCAGTGCTTATCACAGTGGTTATCAAACTTTGCCGCACTTTGCAATCACCTGTGTAGCTTTCAAAAAATATTACTCCAAGACATTGTGATTTATTTGTTACAGGGAATAACTTGTTGTCCGTGTTTTAAAAATCTGTCAGCACCTCTAATCTCAGTAATTTGGGAGGCTGAGGCAGGAGAATTGCAAGTTAAGTCTAGTGTGGGCGATTTAGAGATTTAGTGAGATCTTGTATCAAGACAAATACAAGAAGTCAGGAATGTAGCTCACTGTGAAGGTCCTACGATCAACTGCCTAGTGCGGCAAAGATCAAAACCAACCAAACTAAAACAAGTTCAGATTTTATATTTAACCACAGTCCCCTCCCACGGCTTGTCTATGTTCTGCTTCCTCCCTGACAGCCTACCCGGAGAGTCACTTGGCGTGGAGAATAAAGGCTACGTGGGGGACGAGCTGCCGGGCAGATCTGGGGCAGTCTTGTCCGAGATGCCTTCTCCACAAGTAAGCTTCTTTGTGATGCTTCGTGGGTGACAAAAGCACAGCTGGGCGTGCTTTATAGTGGAGCTGGCCCGAAGCAACGAGAACAGGACGCGCTAGGACCTGCTAAGAAGCGGCCTAACAACGAGGTTCCGTGCGCTGAGCCACTCAATCAGCCTACAGGGCAAGTGAGGGCTAGAACCTGCGCACCGTGCACCGGCCGCCAAGATTCTACCTCAGAGGAAAAAGTGCTGACAAAAACAGAGCCTTATGCTGCACTCTAAGGGGAAAAATGCAATCACAAGCCACACTCGATGCCATAAGAGTCCTAATACTTTTAGAAGAATCAGTCATGCAAAATCATTTTCCAAAATAAAATTACATTATAAATCAGTAACAGGACCAGTGAGCTAGCTCAGTGGACTAAGCGCCCTCTTTGGCAAGCCCAGGCACCAGGGTTTGATGGCCACCCAGTGGTGGCATGGTGGCGCATGCCTGTAATCCCAGCTCTGGAGAAGTTGAAAACAGGAGGATCACTATGAGTCCAGGCTGCGTAGTGAGATCCTGTAACAAATACATAAATGAAAAATAAATAAATAACAAAAATATAAATAATTTCTATAGTATAAATAATTTCTATTCCCAAATAGAAATTAGGTTCACAAATTCAAAAGAATTACTAGGTCAACCAATCAAAAGGATAACTAGAAAGCATTTTAAAGTAAACAGAAATTAAACACACAACATATCAAAGGTGTGGAAAGTAGAAAAATTAATAATTAGAGGAAAGTTTGTAACATTAAAAGCTGGTGCTGTATAGACAAATGCCATTAATAATCTCAGCTTTCATTTTAAGAAGATAAAAAATAAATGTCACTATATACAGAGAACAGGAATGAAAAACAAGTGAATGGAATATAAAACAAAAATAACAGACAAAAATCACTAAAACCAAGAACAGATTTTTTTCAAAAGCTTAATAATTTCACAAACTTCTGGTCAGAATAATCCAAAGAAAGAGGAAGGGAGGCAAAAAAAAGAGAAAGAGATAATCAGCATAGATTGTTAATATCAGGAAGCAGAAGGGTGACATCATTGAAAAGCCTATATATATATGAAATTGATAATTAGAAAACATTATAAAAATCATTACTTTAGTATATTTGATAATACAATACAAAGGAAAACTCTCCAAGGAACAAATCACTAAAGACTACTCCTGAAAAAATAGATAATTGTTGTATCTCTATATCTAATAATTTATAGACACTGAGAAGAGAAGAAAATGGATAGAAAAATTCTGTACAATCTAAGGATGGATATAGTGATTTATAGCGGTAATCCCAGCACTCTGGGAGGCTGAGTCAGAAATTCAAGTCAGCCTAAGTGACTTAGACATAAATGATAACAGCAAGCTTCTGTCTCAGAAGAAAAAACACTATTTCTCAGAAGAAAAGAGTGGGGGATATAGCTTATACTGAGGCATATGGTTTAATCCACAGCACAGGAAAACAAAACTGAAAAAGAAAAGAAAGAAAATTCTATGGAATTTGCCAAAAAAGGTGAATTTGTAAGATTTTTAGGATGCATGATTAGTATACCAAACTTTAGTTCATTTTCATAGACTATCGAGAACAACTCCAAAAATAAAATAAAATAACAAATTGCCATTTCCAGTAGCATAAAATACCAAAACCCTTAAAAACTTAGGGGTTAAAATGATAAAAGCTGCATAGAGGAAAATAGAAAGTGAATGAAAAAAATTACGTGACCAAATAAATATGATTGTGGACAAGAAGGCTCACCAGGGCTGTCGTCAATTGTTCCCAAATTGTTCTACATTTCGAAAAAAAAATCCCAATCAAGATATCAGCAAGAAATTTTTGTAAGACTACTAGGTGAATTAACAAAGTTACAGATTAAAAATTAACAAGCAAATATTATTTGTATTTCTACATACTAGCACCCATCAGAGAAAAATAAAAATTATAATTTGAAATAGCACCAAAATCATGACATACTCAGGCATAAATCTGACAAAATGAAAGGCAGAATCTACATGCAAAGAGGCAATACACTTGTGAGAAACATTTTAAAGAACTTAAATTGGTAAAGGGTGCAAGACATGCTCAAAGTATGCTACATACATGCACAAAAATAAAACAAAATCCATTATTCAGTATAATTAGTATGCACAGCCTTTTTTAAAAAAATATCTCAATAGAGGTATATATTTTTATAAGAATCTGTATTGTTAATATATGCTTTTTTTAACTTTCTATGCATTCAAAGTAATCAAAAGAGTTTGTTTAACTAGAAATTGACTCACTGATTCTAAAATTCATCTGGAAATATCAATTACCCAGAATAACTGAAGAATTTTATAAAAGCAGAAAGGAATTGGAAATTTATGCTACTTGATTGCAAGATGCATAAGGCCAAGTATTCAGCACAAGGCTGTACTGGCATCGATGCTTATAGACAAATACACTAATAAAATGAAATAGCTTTGAGAAATTGAACCACATATATCTGGCCAATTGATCTTCTACAAAGGTGCAAATGAGAGTCCCCAGTGACAGAAAAGCCCTTCACAGATAGTGCAAGCGCAAGTTAGTCTTACGGACAAAGGTGAACTCTGATCTATTTTTGGAACATTACATGAAATTAACTCAACTCAAAGCACAGATAAATACATGTATCTCTTTTTCCTGTAAAATTAAAATATATATGACTAAACTGTAATGTATAAAGGTAAACACTGTGGAATAAAACTATAAATCTCCACATGAAAATCATTGTTTTAAGTCAGAAAAGTGACTAATCTGTATGACGAGGTAGTGGTCAGCCACAATGGCTACTTACAGAGGTCAGAGGTCAGGTCTTAAACTTTTTTTTTTAATTTTTAGACAGGCACTCTCTATCAGGCTGGTCTTGAGCTCATTATGTAGCCTAGACTGGCCTTGAACTCACAGCAATCCACTTCCCCATGTTGGCATTGCAGGCATGCACGACCACTCCTGGCTCACATCCTCTTCTTAAGCAAGAATGCTTCTCTTCCATGGTTTATTTAACTGTGAATTTATCTAATGTATTTATGTTTTTAATCTATATTTTATTTATTCATAAAAAGATGAAAAATAAATAAAACAATATTTATAAATCGGGATATGAGCAATGGAAATTCCCAAATAACTGTATGAATAGTAGAATTAATGATACTGATGTTAACCTTGAGACAGTAAAAACAAGCCTTAGTTGTTTACACTTCTGAATATATGTGAAAATTTCTAAACTTGGGAGAAGATTTTCTGACATGAACCTACATAGGGCTAATATCAATCTTAGATTTGCACTGAGTTTTAAACGGAAACTATGTGAAGGTGCCTAGTACACTGTTGGGTATATATTTAGCACTTAATAGGCATTCATTATCTACTTTGTCTTGCAGGCTGTTTCAGTTTCTTTCCTAATTAAGATTTCCTTAAATTAATATGTAAATTAACCATACTCCCAGAGAAGGGAGGGAAGCAAATGTGTTTGAGCATAATAAACAGGTTCAAAGAGAGCTGGGGCACAGTTGTTACATTTCCAGATTGTAAGGTCTTTTAGAGGTCTTGGATTTAGGGCTGAAACAAGGGCACTGAGAAGAGACATTTGAAAATCATTTGTTGACTATCAGCATAGATTTTCTTTATTACTCAGATTTGATGGCCTATGATATCAGAGATTAGGAACATATATTTTACATGAGAGTTTGGCCCTCTAATCTCATGCTTTTGTATGTCATGATTATATGAATAATAGTGATTTAGCAACATACCTCTTTGATACATGAGTTTCCTATCAAATGAAAAATTGTTGTGGGAAGTTCCATTGGTGCAACTTCTCTGTCACATTCACTGATGTTTGGTATTTCTCCTCTGGCATTTGATAACTGCCCTGGGTCCTGCAGTCACTGAGCCATACCTTCCAGTGGTTTTGTCATTTGGGAGTTAACAGAAAGCACTGCATAGAAGGTGACCTCATTCAAACCAGTAGGTATTGTAACAGGCAGTTCTGGAGGCTCCCAGTGACTTCCCAAAGCCAGAGCCATGTGGCTGGCTGTAGAATTTCAGGAGACAGATGAGTAGAGCTGCTAAGATTCAGAAGTTAGAAGCCCTACCTGGTGCTATGCAAATCACAGTAGGTAAAGAACCCTCCACACTTCTCCTATGTGAGTTTGTGCTATACCCAGACCTTAGATCCAGCTGTTACAAGGTAAGAGTCCAAGGAAGACTATCCTTTCCATGCTTCTTGGTGTCTGTGTATTTACTAGGGATGCCCTCCGAGGTTGGGAAATGGATCCTGTGGGCGTGAGAAATAGCTGTACTTACAACATACAATTCGTACGGTAAGGATGCCTTTTTTTTTCCCCACTAACAGAGGACCACAGAATCCTTGGAGAGCCTTCCATGTAGCTTTTCAAGTCCGCACTACATCAGTCTGGTATGTCTCTGCTCCTTTCCGTTGCCCGGGATAGGCTGTGTCTGTGTCACGAATAACTTCGATGCTGCTTACCCACCTGTGGGTTCCTTTCAAAGGCTCAGTAACATCACACAGCTCTAAGTGGAGGTGACAGTAGGATGCTGAGGGACAGAACCCAACTTCCTAGGGGGCACTGTACAAAGTCACGGGTGGCCCTGTCCTTGTTTAAAGGGTGGCATGTTACTCCTCATCAATTCTTGTTGTTTAATTTCTAAATAAACACATATGAATGAGACTACGGTCCTTCAACTCGTTTCCACCTCTAACATTCTGCTCTGAGGCAAATGCCAGATCCCTTTCGCCCTGGTGCTGGCCCCAGATCGGGTGATTTTTGGTGAAGTCTTGATCAGCTCAAGGGCTCTAGCACTCGTAGCCAAAATGGTTTTGTTTTTATTTAAAGTAAATCCTTATAGGATTCCTTGAAATCAGCCCCATCTTTAGTTTCTAGGCATCCTCCAACTCACCCACGAGACGACTCTCAGGACGGGCACTAAACGCACCAAGATTCTTCTATTTGTATTGTAAAATCAGTAATGTCTTTCACACCGAATACAGTCTAGAGCCCATGTCCTTTTAAAAAGTTGTATTTTTAGAAAATATAGCTTAGTGGCACAGCACCTGCTTGCCATGCACGAGGTTTCTGATCCCAAACCAAAGAGTATTTTTTTTTAAATTTGAGACTGGGCTGGGGTGATAGTTCAGCAGTTTAAGTGCATGCCTGGCAAGCACAAGGTCCTGAGTTCAAGCCCCAGTACCGCATGTTGTGCTGGCCCAAGAAGCCCAGATGCACTGTGCCAGCCACGACAGCACTGGGGAGGCTGAGACAGGAGGAGAATCAATACGAGTCTGAGCTGCATAGCAAGACCCTCTATCAAATAAATAAATCAATAAAATTATAATAATAAAATTTGAGACAGGATTTCACTAATTTGCCCAGGTTGGCCTCAAATGTATGCTCCTCCTGCCTCCAGAGTGTTGGGATTACAGGCCTGTACCACCATACACAATGCGTTAAGCCTTTTTTTTTTTTTCAACAGTTGATTGAAAGACTGCAATCAGGGTACTTGTTAGGAAGTGAATTTTGAAAAATTTCAGATCACAAGAAAGGAGGTAGGGCTATCCTGTAAAGTGCTGCTGAGCTATCTCACCACGGAGTCGGTACTGTCTTTGAAAATAAGTCTTACTGGGAACTTATTGAGGGTAGTACTGAACTAAGGCAGTGATGCTTAGAAAAGGATTGCAAGTCTCTCACCTCATATATTCTAAGAGAGATTTACAAGTTTCGTGACTAATGGCACCTAGCAAACTTTAGTTGGTCAGCACGATCCACTCCATCGCCATCCCATAGCAATTTATAAGCCAGCTTGGATGTTTTCACAGAGCAAGAAATGGTCTGCATCTTGGTGTCTCTGTGCATGCATGCACATGTATGTGGGAAGCACTTGTAATGTATATGTCCACATGGATGTTTGTGATTGTGCATGCATGTACCGCCAATATCTGGTGCAATTCCTAATATACATTATTTATTACAGAAATCTGCAAGTAAAGATCTAAGAGGAATTGCAGATCTCAAACAAAGCGCCACTATGGTAGGTTCCCAGGGGCAGGAACTGCCTCTCTCTTTAGTTTATAAATGCTGGTATCTTTTTGTGTTCTCTATTATTCATTGATTGACTGAGGTTGGGTCTTCATATTTATCAGGAAAATAGGATGCCTGAGATTGTTTTCACTATATGCTGATACATCTAACAGAAAATTCTGCCAAGCTTGTTTTAGTCCAAATTCTTTTAATTTAGCCAAAGGATTTTAAAACTCTTTTTTTTAATTTAATTTTATTTTTTTTGGCAGAACCAGGGATTGAACTCAGGCCCTTGCACTTGTCAGGGAAGTGCTTATTCTACTGAACTGTCTCCCCAGTCAATTTAGCCAAAGGAAGAAGTTAGAATTCAAGAGTTTCAAAGACCTAATACATATTAGAAATAAGAAAATTTATAGGTTTTTCTTAGACTTTTGTTGACCAGAGTATGCATCCCTCTGAGTTCTAAAAATGATTTTTTAAAATCTTTTATTTATTTACCTTTTTGGTACAGCATCTTGCTATGCAGCTCAGACTCTTAGTGATCCTCCTGTGTCAGCCTCCCCAGCGCGGGGATTACAGGCGTGCGCCACCACTCTGGGTTTCAGTGGCTGGTTTAGTGCAGGGCCAGTATGGCATGCAGTATGGGGAATTGAGCTGGTTTCTTGCACTTGCCAGGAAGGCGCTTAGACCACCAAGCTATCTCCCAGTTCCTTCTAGAAGTAATTTAAAGGACATAATTGTTGAAAGGAACATTGTTTTTCATGATTGTTTTACTAATATTTCATTTATTGAATCAATAAATAATTAACAGGGCCAGCCATATAGTTCAGCAGTCTACAGCACCTGCATATGCAAGTGCAGAGACCAGGGCTCCATCCCTGGCATGCTGGCCCCGCCCCCAGGGCGCACCGAGACAGCGACTGAGATTGGGCGTAATCCCAGCACTTGGGATGCTAAAAACAGGAGGATTGCTATGAGTCTGATCTGTGTAGTGAGACCCTGTAGACCCTGTACTAAATATATAAAACTAAGTAAATAAATAAACAATTGATGGTAAAGGATGATTTCACATTTAAATTATGAGGTGTTTTGGAAAAAAGTATGGAAAAGTGAGGTATTCTGTCAAAGGCACAAATGGCTATTGTCTGGCTGTCTTGCCCAGTGTTTGCTTTCCTACCTTTCTTCATTACTTTGAGTTTCCATAATGCTCTCGGGACTGGGTGAGTGGGAAGTTTTCCCCAAAAAATCTCTCCTAGAAGCCTTCCAGGCTGGTGCAGGCACACCGCCCCCTCTGCTGGGACAGAGCGAGTAGGACTTCTCCCAGCAGTCCTTGCACAGTACCGGGGTCGGGGGGACCTGTCTCACAGTGCGGCAGGTGGGGACGCTCTAGTCTAAGCACACTGCTTCGAGCCTTGCATTGTAAAGTATTTTCTTTTTCCTGCTCTAGACCTCTACATTTAAAAGTACAGAACAGGCCGTGGCTAAGGGGATGGAAGTGTGAATCTATGTGGTACAACAGAATCTAGGAATTATTCGGACTAGTGGACATAAATTAGTGATTGAAGTACATGTTTATGGACTTGATAAAAAGTAACTTATTTTTAACCATCTGTTTCTGTTTAGAGCTTGAAACCGGACGTCCAGCACGGCTGTGCCAGCCTGGGCTGAGAACCCCAGATCGAGAACTTCAGTCTTCTCTAGCCAGTTCCTACACAGATTTCAGGAATCTCTCAAATGATCTTTACCAAGTCAAAAAATGTTTAAAGAAACAATTATTTTCTGCTAATATTTGCTTTTAGAATTCACAGCCTATAGCCTTGATATATGTTACAGAAAAACAAATGTCTTGTGGCTTTTCAAATGCTTAATATAAATATAAGCTGGTGGTTTTTCCCCCTCTCATGTTCTACTGCAAAATGCTAATCTAGTTAATTTTTAAAAAGTTAAAACTTCGATAATAATCTATAGCCCTGAATTTTGGAAACAAAATATCATTTGTGGAAGTTTACTTCGTGGGGGACAAGAAGTACTCACATTAATTTGTTTTTTGTTTTGTTTTGTTTTGTTTTTGTTTTTTCAAAGTTTTATTGATAAACAGATAGCAATGAGACAGTTTCAAATCCAATCGGAAGTACAGTTTCAACAAATAATGCACTGCATATATTCTTCTTAGTGGTTAATTGCTGTACACGAAGTGGACTTGTGAAGCTATTTACAAACACCATTAGAACAAATCATTCTATTCATTAAGAGAATGCAACTATATATCTATCCCAACCACTTTGAATACACAGATACAAAATGGACATTCATCGGTATACCCCATTTTTTCTAAGTTCCATTATTGAATATTATAGGTGTGTAAACTCAGCAAAATATTCTACAAGAGGCCAGTAGCTCATAATAGCATTGGGTCCTCTGTTTAACTGGCAATGTCAGAAATTATTGACCTGAGTCCCCCACAGCTCAACTTAACAGCATGGCTTTATTTTCTATATTTCGTCGTCATACTTTTCTACTGGATAGTTAAGAGCAAGGTAAAGCAGGACCCATGCAACAAGAGTTGTAGCTTTTTGGTCACTCACATTAATTTGAATGTGGCATTATTACCGCGAAATCTGGATTTAATGCAGTTGTTTCCCGCAAAATCCCAAGGAGGGAAGTGCCCGGGCCGAAGGGCATAGCTTTCCAGAGTTAGTTAGCAAGTGAGGGAGGCAGCACAGTGGTCCGGATGACTACAAAATAGACCTTACAATCACCCTGCTGCAACAGGGGACATGAGAGACTCCACGCCTTTTTGAATTCCTAGGCTTGCCTTTAATTCCTTAAGAAGCTGAAGAAGTGGGAGGGGTGGAATGATTTAGAAAACCAACCCCAGCTGGGAGCACGCGCTCACGGTCTCCTCGCACGGCTAAGGGTCTTCAGGGCGCAAGGCTCTGCCGCTGGCTGCGCGGGTGGGGAGCCTCTGCGTTCCTGGGTGGCGCTTGGGGGGCGCTGTCCTGGGAATGAGTCAGCTCCTCCGGGGTTCTCTTCTGTCTCTGTGAACTGTTAAATCTATGACTGTTACTTTTCTCGTTTACTGAAATAAAGTTCTCAAGTGCTGAATAAAAAGGTTCCGGTTCAGTGACACACATGAAGGCTGCTGGCGAGAGCGAAAGGCCGCTGCCCCCAGAGTCGCCCTGGGCTCTGCAGGTTCGCCTCCCTGCGGTACAGCGCCAGGCGAAGCCTCCGCACCTGCCAGCTTGCAGGGCCTTTGTTCTAGTCAAACCACCACTAAAAAAGAATCCATAAGTGTATTCAGAAAGCAAATGACACTCATTTAAATATTTTATGTAAATTTGCGGGAAGGAAAAAGAGAAACTCCATATCTGATACGTAGCAGCTTCATTAAGGCATACAATAATCCCCTGATGTCTAAAATTAAGGGACAGTCATATCTTCCTAGTCTCCCGAGCACTGCATATGTTGATGAACAATATGCATTCTAAATATGCTTGTTAATGCCTATTACTTTTACAAAATACTCAGTTTCACTGTGGTACTTTCATGCATGCATCTAACATACTTTTGATCATATTCATCCTCTTTGGCCTCAAATAATACTTATCCTAGTAGTATCTCACTCCCTTTGTAAAAGGATCGCCATCCCGATTTGCTAGCTTTTGCTATTATCCCACATCTGTCTGGAAGATCAAACCACCACCATCCATTTCCGCCTGGGGTCCGTCTAACTACCAATTTCTGAGTCATATTTTTCTCAAATTTCTTCTTCCCGATATAAAAATGTCAGGTAGCAAGTGAATCCTCCTGCCTCATGCATTACTGGCTAGAAGACCTCTAGGTATGCCTGGGCTTTCTGATAGGCCAGACTCTTGGTTTTAGGCTATCCAAGCAGCCAGGCTTTCTATTGACAGGCTGTAGGGTTTTGTCCAACTTCCCTCAAATGCTGCTGCTGCTGTATCTCTGTTCCCAGGGCCCCTGTCTCTCCTTCCCATGTGCAGATTAGGAAGCAACCTTCATGACACCTCCCTACAGTGGAGCTAATGAAGAGAAGTTCATAGTGGGAAGCCAAAGGCTTTATGAACAAAAATTGCAATCCCTACCAGCAGCAGACAGGACATGGATGCACTGCGCTAGCTTGAGCTGGAAGTCTCAGCTCAGATGAAGACTGATCCAGCCAGAGATGCAAATGAGACAGAACGGGGTTCATCCCATGCCTCAGCTACTTCTCCACACACTCCTGAGATGTGCGTGCACGGCAATGGGGACCCAAGAAAGTACTTTGCAGAAAGTAAAACCCTAGAAGGCTGAAACCAGCTGAGCTCTGGCCACACTGCCCCATCCCACTTCCCAGCCTACACACAGATCAGTGGCTCGAGGCCTGCAATTCCACAGGCTCTTGAATGTTAAGTAAAACCTCTACCTATATCACTGAACATTAAACAAAGCATCCTGAGGCGTGATTCATGGAAAAATAGGAAGGAACACACAAACACGGTGCAATCCTGAGCAGAGACATTTGCTGCTGCACCCTACAGAAGAGGGGTCAGGGGAGGAGGGCGTGGGGCGCAATAAATTCTGTGATTGAAATCAGCAAGTCACTTTCAAAGACACTCAGAAAAATCACCAGAGCTCATATCTGTTAATATCTCTGATAATTAGCTGCATAAATGATATTTGCAATGGAATCTCAAGTATGTGTATTTATACATCAGTTCCTTCATGAGTACAGCAATGGTGATTCAGTACAAAACAAAAAAAAATCCCCTCCCTTCCATGGCAGACCAACAATACCCCAATATTGGGTCAAATGTTCTCTTTAATTTTTTTTTCTTTATCACAAATCAAACTTAGGACCTCATGCTTACCAGGCAGGCACTGTGTCACTGAGCTGTGTCCCCATCCCTGGGCCAAATATTCTCAGATCTCAACCACCTCCACACAGCCTTTCTTTCACCACAACAGTCCTACCATTGAATATAGAATTCACCTTGGATGTACTAAAATTGAAAAGTTGCTTTCTAAAGAATAGCAGTGCAAGTAACTTTCCCCTTGCTGTGCAGAAGTCTCTGGAGTTGTCAACCCATGAGCCACATTTGTGGGACCACTAGGTGGCCACATAGCTCAGTGAATGTCAGAGTAGCTAAAAAATTGCTCAGTGAGTCTAATGCTTTTCTGGTCTCCACTGGCTCTTCAAAATCCTGATGTTAAAATTATTACAAAATTTGCTACCTTTTGTTCTTGATGATTAGTAGTGAAAAGCTAAGTCAATTTTCCCAGATGCATTCTACTCTGCAGGGAGTGGGCATGAGTATCTCTGTACCTAAACAAAAGGGGGACAAGCTGACATCCTGGGACCTTTGGTGGGGATTTGGGGATTGAAAAAGCAAATCCTCTTTTACTTTCAGTCTGACGTCAACAATCTTGATCTTGATCTTGGGAAGTTAACAGACCTAAATAAATCTCCTGGAAACTTTTTGCTTGTTTGTTTTTGCCTGTGAATTGTGCAATGGATAGCACAAGTCAAGAAAAGGCAGCAGGGAAGTAGAGATAGCTCAGCAGTCTATGTGCCTGCCTGGCAAACACAAGGACACAGGCTTAATCCCTGGTACCAAATATCATGCTACCCTGGAACTGTGGGCGCACCTGGCCAGCCACTGGTACATTGGTATGCACCTGTAATCTCAGCACTGGGGAGGCTGAGACAGGAGGATCACTACGAGTCTGAACTGCATAGTGAGACCCTGTAACAAACAAATGAATAAATAGCCAGCATCCTGTGCATCTTCTCTGACTTAGTGGTAGAGCCTTGATGACATTTAATGTCCCTCTGCTAATCATCACTAAAGAGTGAGGAATACTGCCTAGATTCCAGGTCTTCTTGGAAGCTTCCTGATCACTTTCCGCTAAAAAGTCAGACTTTTAGAAAGCTCAAGAGCCTTGATATAAGGGAGGCACTGTGTCAGAGCTTGACAGAATCCATTAACGTCTTTCTCAAGGAAAAGTTGTAATTGTTAGCTACATATAATGGATATTGATTTCTATATATAACATATATAACTTTCAACATCAGGGTTCTCCGAGGAGTAACAGATTCAGAGAAGAGGGGTGTTCAGGATCATAGAAACACTAACTAGCTGGGGAGAAAGTGTACAGTGCTGTCTCAATCTCAGAGAAGTAGAATTAAAGGATAGCATTGTTTCCACAAGGATACTAGTGATTGGGCTGGAGAGATAGCTCAGTAGAATAAGCGCCTGCCTGGCAAGTGCAGGGTCCTGAGTTCATTCCCTAGTACCACGAAAAGAAAAAAAAAAAAAAGGTACCAGTGATTCACTGTGAACACAGGTGGACGAGCACGGTACTGCTGAGCACACGCTCCATCGAGAATGATTCTAAGAACTTTATACGCATTGTTTTACTTATCTTAAAACAACTTATGCACTTTTATTGCTGTTATTCTCATTTTATAGCTTAAGAATGTTAAGGTCAAAATAAGTCAAATAATTTGGCAGATGTCTGATTGAATAGTGCAGTAGGGGGTGGTGTCTATTTGAAATAGGATCACAAACTAGGCAGATTGGTTTTTTTTTTTCTTTTTTTTATGTATTTTAGTACAGGGCCTACACAGTCTCACTACACAGATCATAGTGATGCTCCTGTTTTCAGCCTCTCAAGCGCTGGGATTACAGCGGTGTGCCACCACGCTCAGTCTCAATTGCCATCTCTGCACGCCCCGGGGCGGGAGGGAGCCAGCACCACATGCCAGGGATCGAACCCCAGGCCCTGTGCCTGCCTAGGCAGGTGCTTTAGTCCACTGAGCTACCTGGCTGGCCCAAGAAGCTGTGTTTTTAACTATTACTATGCAGCTGGTATAAATACAA